AAAAAGAAGAAGAAGAAGAAAAAAACTTAAATCGTTAAGCTCAAAGCTCGTTAATTGGCTCGATTAGCTAACAAAATGAGTTCAACTTTACTCGATAAAAAGCTCGAGGCTGAACTCGAGTATCAGGAGTTGAGTTAAGTTGAACTTGACAATTTACAACTCTAATGGTTGGTAGAGCTGTTGAACGAAATAAACCGCTTGTGAAATCGACTCAACTTGTTTGATAAAACAAACCAAGTTCGAACCTTTTGATAGCTTGTTCAATCAACTATGTTCGACTCATTAAAGTTCGAAAATAATAATTTTCGTATAATTTTGGCTTGGGTCAGTTACAACCCTTACGGTGGGTATCTCCGAAAAAGACAAATCGATGCCCATGCATGGAAAATTAAACACGACAATTTCAATGCATGACTTCGCAGAAAAACAACTCATAACAACCTAGGAATCAAATGCTCTCAACAGTCCTGGCATCTAAAAACTTTTGAACTTTTACCAAACCAATCAAGGTAAAATGTAGGCATATATTAAAACTAGGTACGGCTGAGAGCTTCAGAGATGCTCCTTTACGGTTTTACACATCAATCGCTAATGCACTCATTTTTTCGACTCATCTGCCACTGATGGCTACTGTTTTTACTTGGGCAATGAATTGGGTGTGTCTTTCTCTTGATTTTGATCGCCAACAGCATCACTAGGCGCATCGAGTCCAGGCGGGATCTTTCCAGGATAATTAGTTGATGAAAAATCCGAGCCAACATTGCTGTTAAATGCACAAAATAATTTCAATAACCCGAAAGGCAGGGGCAAAATTTCATAATAGGAGGCAAATACCAAATCACGAGTTTTTTTTACCTTCTGTCCACGATGACCATCGAGCGAAGCTCACAATTGGCAAAGCTACAAATGCATAAATTTGCAGTAAGAATCAATTAAGGCAGTTTGGAAATCACATTTGAATTAAAAAATAAAATAAAATCCCCTTTTTTCCTCAATTAACGCGTTAAAAACGATGAGAACTTACTGGCTAGAAATTTCTTTCTTCACAAGTGGATGGCAATCGTTGCCCAATGTAGCAAGTGTATGAAACAAGAATCCACTGTGAGTAACTATTGCAATCTCCTTCTCTTTCCTTGTAAATAACCTGCCACAAATCAAGAAAATGACACATGCAGCTCAACCTGCGTGTGGCTATGGAAAGTAAAACTATCACCTGAAAACATGCAAAATAAACAGGCTTGCATTGGTTCCTGAGCAATAAATTGTTCGGGGCTTGCTTCTTTTCATGAAATATAACAACTCATGAATGATTCATTGCAATTTGCACCCACAAAAATCATGCTGACCGAACAGGTTTATCTCTACATGCTGGATGCACATTGACACAGACAAATATACTGAAACTATATTTTAGATTGAAAGTAACTATAGGGAGAATGGGGAAGATGAAGAAGAACACACTGAAACTATTTGAGATCTAAAGCAATTTGCATCAGTATATGCCCAACTATTGCACAAACGTCTCTCTCTCTTATATACATATATGTGCTGAGTGTTTGACTCTGAAAAGGGATAAAATTATCGGAGATTATAATGTGACTTCAAGTATTGGACTCGTCTTCACCTATACTGATTACTGACTGAATGGGAAAGCAAATTGTGCAATTGCTCTAGAGTAGGAAAATATTACAACTTTCCTATTATGAACTTGAAAAGAGCTACTCACCAGTTGAAGAAGTTCTTTCCTCGAGTTGCAACCTCCTCCTTGGTCTCTCTGACATCAGCCTTCCATGCACTGTCATCATCACTCTCTATCTGAAGCAAAACAAGTAGTGAGTATAATGGTGCCATTATTTCTTTATAAATTAATAAAGTGTACCCATCTCAGCAATTGTTACATGGCTTACCAGTGAAAAATCAACAGCCGGAAAAAGGCATTGATATTCCCCAATGCTCCTCCTCTTATCACAAGGATGAACTCCCTGCAAAATAGGAATTTGTCACTGGAGGTAAAAACCCTATAACATTTCCCCTCTAACTCATCATCTTATTAAAGTCGTTCAAATACTGTGCCATTAGGCATTTGAAATGAGATCATCCTTTCTCCATCCAGAATGGGAAGTCCTACATTGAACAGATCCAGATTTCTATATGGAAAATAGTAGTACATTTTGGATATTTCCATAGTTCCTCCCTTGAATGCTCGTGAAAACTATGGCAGTTCCCATGCAGTTCGAATAATTTCACGTCTAAAATCCATGGAACATATTAGATCTAAAAATCTTAATAATTTTACTTGGTACATTACACAAGAAAAAGTAGCTATTTCATGGTGAAGATGGTCAGCAAATATCATAAATTCAAAAGGTACCGCTCAAAAAGGAAAAGAAAAAAGGTGCAGAAGAACAGAAGGATAAGTATCGGATACAAATCTACTAAGTAATATCCACTCCAGAAATCTTCGGCTAGACCTCATCTAAAGTATTACCCAAAATATGTTCGGGCCAGCATCTGATCTCACACTTGCTTCCCGTATAACCTACTCACACTCAGCATAATAATTATAGCTAGTCATAACAAAGTAATAAATCTGCACCATTGTCATCTAAGGTTCCTTTTTCTGTCATAACTCACAATATCCAACTCTTTTTTGAGCATTCAGAAACAAAGTATAAAAAATCTCTCTCTCTCCAAGATATTATATGATGACACCAAAACTGGAACGTAATTAGGTATGAAATGTTGAAGAGAGTAAACAAAATAACCTAAAGTAGAGCCCATAGCTATGAGAAAAGCGGGAGGAAATGGACAAGCTTATTGCACCAATGACATACCAAATGTTCTCGACACTGTTCAACTGCAAGAATTGGTGGGGAATTTAGACTTGAGATTGCAGCACGGCCGCTGTTTCCAGCATTTGCTATCATTAATGGTAATATATCAGTGTTATCTGTACACCCTTTGCCACCAAATACCCCAACAGCTGTTTGAATGGTCCTATGAATTCAAATCATTACCAAAGGTACAACATATGGAGAAATATATATAGGGTACTAACATAGCCATATCATATACCTATCTCCTTTACTTCTACAAAAATCTACACAGAAATATAAATTTGAGAGGGTACAAAAGCTCGCAACTAATAACTGTTATCCAAATAAAGAACCTATCCAGAAGGTTTCTGAATGTCACGTATAGAGATATCAGATGGTTTGACAGCTCAGGTGTAATAAGATGCCGCAAGTAGAACGGGTGATACATGACACTGGAGTGGATTTGTATTTCAGCTAGTTTAAATGGGGACATGGCACTAAGTTGGCTCGCATGGAAAAGGGCAATCCATGCACTAGCCCATGCAAGAACCATAGTACAATACCCAGCCGCCTAATGCAATTTCAACGTAGTAAAGCAAGTCTCTTGCCATATATGCATAATTCTTCAGTCACTTTAATAAAAGAGATCAGCTTGCTGCAATTTCAATTTTTTTTTTTTCTAAGATGCTTATTTTTTCAGCAGGACAATAGTTATTAACAAGATAACAGGTACAATCAGTAGATTCATTTATAACAGACATACCGCCTTCGCAAGACATACTACCTTGTCAATGGAGATGTGATGACCACGTCGATTTTATTGATAAGCCCAGTTGAATGCACATGTTTACGCAAATTGTCAACCTGACACAACAGCCAAATGTCATACTTCTATGAATTAAGGGTTTAGAAAATTATAAAAGTCGAGCGACCAATTAAAGTTATAAAGCTGGCAGCTGCTTAACAACCTGTTGCCAGCCCAGCTCAGTAAGGTGTGCATCAAAATATTCCGGTGACATGTAAGCATTGTAGTTCTTATCTCCTTCTACATTGTGGATTCCTTGAGCGTGCCTCACCTAGACAGATGTTTTATTAAGACCAGAAAGCCTTCGAATATTTTTGAGCAAAATCCAAGACAACCTCAAGCATCCTTCAAACCGAAGGCGCAGCATATTCAAATTTTCTCTGAAATGCAATCAGAAACGTTTTAAATAGAAATTATTTTATACCAACCAGGTGAATGGTCTTGGTGCGATGCAATGGGAACAAACTCAGACCGCCACCATTATTCATGTCTGCCACAGACCAAACACGAGTCAATTAGCCACACTTTTAGCACAAAACTAGTTTCTAAAACAGATGAAGAAGATATGGAGT